AAAAAAAAAAAAAAAAAAAAAAAAAAAAATCTCAGAGGCAACCTGATGCTCATCTAGATTGGCATCAGTGAGAGCTCAGATTCCCAGCTTCACAGGGTATGCTTGCTTGTGGGAGCCAAGGAGAGAGGCTGTCTGCACACAAACCAAATGCTGGGAGGGCTCTGAGATGCACTGTGCCTGTGAACAGGTGCTGTCACCTGAGATGAGCAGGACATGTATCTTTGTAGCCTACCTTTCTGCACATTCATATCAGCAAGTGTGATCAAAGAGGCTTGTCCTGGCAACTCACTCACTAAAAACCCCAGCAAATGGATGTCTAGACCATGACCTAGCAAAGGATGTCTAGACAAATAGATGAGGAGAGAAACATCGGCTTCAAGTAGAGGGATTCAAGTCATCTCTATGTGTCTTGGCCAGGAGGGAATCAATGTGTTCCTTTGCCTATCCTGGAGCTCAGTTTTCTAACCTGAAAGTGAGGTTTGGTTAAAAAAACAAAACAAAACAAAACAAACCTTCCCTTGTACGCAGAATAGAATGGGCGATCACACATTAAACTGGTAGCACAATTCTGGGCCTAACTGCTCACATAGTCAGGGTTACAACATGCCCTTGTGCCTGGAAGGAAGAGGTGATTGGGGCATTCTGAGTGTTAAGGGCATTCACTCTTCAAGTGATAATTTTTGTGCTTGCTGTGTGCCGAGGCATGGTGCTACTTGTCACGATAGACTTAGTGGGGCCTCACGGAGTTTACTTACAGCTTGGCAGTGAGAAACCACCACAGACTTCTTAAAGAGGAAGAACAGGAGGAAAGATTGAAGCACACATGATTTATAGAGAACAGAGAGGCTATCCCATGTCCCTGTTTGTAAAGAAGGTAAGTGGCCAGGGAAGGTTTGGATAGAGCAGTTTCTGTGACCTGCCATTCTCCAGGCAACTTATAATCACAGTTCAGAGGAGGATATGAGAGTCCCAGCAACATCTTTGGCCATCTTTTTGGAAATAGCTTTTGCTTCATAGGCCTCTCTAGTTTTCTCTCCCCCTCCATTGTACTACCCTGTGAGCAGGCACAAGAGAAAGCCAGACACAGATGGCCCATGTGTAATCCCAGCACACTGGGAGGACGAGCCAGGAGGATTGCAAATTTCAGCCCAGCATGGGCAATTTAGCGATTGGAAAACAGGCTAGAATATACTCTGGATGAACACAAAATCTAAAATGTAAGGCTCACGGAACAAGGGCTACCTTTAAAAAGGGAAGGGATTTTCCAGTGCTTACAGAAGGGCTCTCTGGTCCTGGTCAACACACATATGGAGCTGGTGGCCAGTTATGATTTGCTCCTCACCCTGCAAGATGATATCTCAGAGCGGGGATAGCCAGACATGCAGAGAAAAAGGTGTCAGACATCAACAACAAATTTGTGACCCAAACATGGGATACAAGCCTGGCAGTTCAGAAGGTTTAGCTGGCAGTTTGTTGAAGGAGAAAATTTTCAGGACTAGTGTCTTCTGTGAAGGAGCATGTGCCACAGAAATCCTGATTATGGATTTTTTTTTTTTTTTTTTTTTGGTAGCAGGGATCGAACTCAGGTCTTTGTGCTTGCAAGGCAGGTGGCGGAACCACTGAACCAAATCCACGGTCCCATGGATGTTTTAAATGTGGTGTTAGAACAGGGTGTTTTTTTTCCTCAGGGTTCTGGGTATGTGAGCTACCTTGTGAGTAAGAGGCATTTGCCTGCCTTGTCACTGCCCCGAGGTCCTGGTAAGCTGCGTCTAACTTTGAGTGAGAGGCTCTGGGCCAGAATTTGAGAGTCTGGTGTTATACAACTAGGACTGAAAAGCCTAGAGAGAGCTAAACTCTTATTGAGACTGGAGATCTGAGGAAAAAGAATCCTAGGATTGGTTTGGTATAAAAAGACCCATTGGGCCTAATCTTGATCGCCGGAGATGGAGGATATCCAATTTTCCAATCTATTCAGGATTTCCTGTTCTCTGTGAGAATAGGGAAAAGATATTATAGTCTCTTGCTGGTGTTGCTTCCACAAAAGTCAAGATTAGCAGGCTTCAGCCAGAAAGACACACAAAAGGGAGATGTTAGCAGCACACTGTGTATAGGAGAAGTAGTCATCATTTCTGGTTTTCTTCTAGGAGCACAGCAGCCCATGGCTCCTCCTACACCTGTTTACTACCATGTCCTCTACCGAAGACGTGGTGAAACCCAGGTCAGCTGGCATGGAGAGACCTACTGCCTGGTTGGTGGCTACCGGAGCTATGGGGATGCTGCCATCGCCACCCCAGTAAAGGTCAAAGAAGAGAAGCCAGAATCCAGGTGGCCCGATGGGGATGCTTCCACTGTTACCCCAATAAAGGCCAAAGCCGAGAAGCCAGTATCCATACAGGTTCTCAAAAGGCCTCGATTTATGGAAGAATATAACCAACAACTAGGGGGCCCTAGCCCCAAAATTCGCCAGTTAAACAATGGTGACAAGACTGAAGAATGGCTCAGCGATTCTTTTGAGAAGATGGACATCGGAGGAGAGAGCTAGTGCCTTCCACTGCCTTTTCTGAAGACAGAAACTGGCAATCTGGCCAGATCCCAACTCTGTCAGGATCTCCCTTCCCTACCAACAACTGTAGGAAAGAGTCAGAAGCTGTGGTTGAAAGGAATAGTTGCTTTGAGCACCCAGGGCTTCACCTGCTTGAAGAAGGAACCATACTGTGCAATCCAAGGAGTCAAATGCAAAGCAGTCTCATTGAGGCCTAATATACCAGCTGGACTCCTGACCTCAATCATTGCCAGCAATCACCAGTACAAGTGAGGATGATTTAGGATTCCTGAAGTCAGCAGGGGTTTACACAAGGAGCCTCATGGCTGTGCTCTCAGGAACACCCCCAGAACTTTTACTTCCTTTCTTCCTGGCTTCTGAGAGATTCCTACAATTGAATAAAATAATTTTCTGTAACAGTTTTTGACTGGAAATCAGTTTGTCCAAGGCCACTCTCAAACTTCCAGCTCTCGGGCTGGGGATTTAGCTCAGTGGTGCTGCTGCCTGCCTCACAAGGACAAGGTCCTGAGTTTGATCCCTAGGACCAAAAAGAAGCCAACCAACTAAACAAACAAACAAGAACAACAACAACAAAAACCCCACAAAACTTCCAGCTCCCTCCAAGTACATTCATACACAGAAACGTGCTTTACTAAGGCCTTCTGAATCCAAATGGAATCCGTGATAACAGTCTCTAATGGAGAGTCCCCTCCAATGATGCCTAGAAAACTTGGGCCAAGTTCCAGGCCAATTCTTCAAGAAACAGAGAGCATTTCTCTGGGGTTGTAGCTCAGTGGTAGAGCATGTGTTTAGCATGCACAAGGTTCTGTGTTCAATGCCCAGCATCAAAAAGCAAGGAAAGGAAAGAGGAAAGAAAGAAAGAAAGCCTGTTGAGTACTTCAATGTGTGCGTGTGTGTGTGTGTGTGTGTGTGTTAGGAAAAGTGAAGGAGAGTTGAGAAAGTGTTGGACCATCTATCAGTTTATGCATCTACCCACTCATTCAACAAGTACTTTAAGCAATGGTTTCAAATCACACATTGTACTATTTGATTGGGAGATATGGTGAGTGAAACAGTCAAGGTATTTCTTGTCACAGCACTAAGTGTTACAGGGTTCTGGGGTTCTGGGATCTCCTTCTAGATTCTTCTTGTCCTGAATGAAGAATTGGACAAAATAAGCACAAGGTACATTTATTAAAGGCATCCATCTTTTTGTGTCTTCCACTTCTCAGGCTGAGGTCAAAATCCTGTTTTATTTCTCATGAGAAGAATTAGAGATAGCATTTTCTGATTGGAACTGTTGCCAGGCACACACCTGTAATCCTAGCACTCAGGAGGTTGAGGCAGGAGGATCTCTGCCAGTTCAAGGCCAGTCTGTGCTATATAGTGAGTTCAAGTCCAGCCTGAAATATATAGTGAGACTGTCTAAAACAAACAAAACCAAAAAATCTGACTGGAACTGTTTTTCTGCATATGTCCTGGCACGCCCACCTGCTCCACTGGCTTGCCACACCCTAATCTCCTGGCTCATTTTCCCCTGAGAGACATAAATCCCAATAATTCTTTTTTTTTATAATCACCAAGATATATATTAAAGTGTGTTTAAAGAGAAAAATCAAACTGCCTTTCAGACCCCTGAGTGTAATCCCAAAGAAGACAGCGCGCTTTTAACTGTTCTAACAAACCAGAGTTAAAAGCACAAATTACCAACATCATCCTGAAACGAAACAAAAAAGACGTAAACAGCTACAGATCTTAAGGTAAAAGCAGTTTTGTAACTGCATGTGATATAACTGCATGTGATGTAACTGCATGTGATAATTTTACTGTAAAATCAGTTTATCATTGTCCTTCAAACTGATCAGGAGGTTGCAGGTTTGGAAATGTATAGAGTTAATAATAATTGTTGAAGCAGGTTTCAGGCAGTTTTCAGTCCTGTATAAATTTACTTATTAGTGGGTAGACACTGGCTTCTTTCTAAGCACAGTAGATATTATTCATTTCCCACTTTTGAGCCATTTCACTGGGTCACAATTGGAGATGAACACTTGATGTAGGACCTCTGAGCGATCTAAGCCCTTCCCTGAAGGAATGTGAGTAAATCTGAGCAGGTTATTAAAGTACTGCCATTCCTTAAATTCATTTAGATTACAGTGTGGAATCATAACTTTTGATCCATCAGGCCCTTTTGTCAAATACTGGTCATGTTGCATGAGCTGATTTGCTTCGTTGATTCAGAAAAGCTGATTCCCACCCATCCTGTGGCAAGGTCCAAGTTCAACAAAGCTTCCATTTGCTTTTCCCACACTGCCAATGCAGTAAGCAGTTACAAAACATCTGATTTCTCCCCAGTCCACATTCTTTGGGGGCAGAGGGTAGTGTGAGGTGATATCATAAACTATTTCTTCCATGAACCACTTGAATCTTTTACAGTTATGATCTTGGAAATTTTTCAGCTCAGATATATCACCATAGAGTAATGCTTTTGATTCAGGACAGCTAGCATAGAAGTAGTCTTTATATTCATCCCACCAAACCTCTAAAACTGACTTAATTCTTTAGAGTTGGAGAAGACCCAATGTATAGGGGTGGAGGATTTCCTTGCCATCCCTCAAGCCCTCAAGGTATATGTGTCCAACACGAGAACAAGGAACAAATAATAATTTCCCACCACACTGCCATATCTTGTAGGAAATCTCAAAGTTTTCACCACCCCAAATCTGGCAACCTGGATCATAGAGACCCAGTTCAAAGAAGAGTCCTCATTCAATGGCAAATAATCCACCAGCCATGGTTGGGGACCAGTCCAAGTTTAGCCTTTTGAGCACCAATACTTTGTGCTTGAATTAAACCTTCTCTTCTCTCATTTCAAAATACCTTCACTAGGCCATTCCATAGCTTAATCCAGTTTTTCTTTCTAAGGGTTCTTTATCACTGAAATCATCAATTAACACAATTTCTGCTAAATATTTCCTTGGAGTTCTTTTGATTGCACTGTGGACTGTTCTCATGAGGGTTGACCATCCTTCCTTATGGAAAACAATGACAGCAATCGAAGTCAGCAGATTTTCGTCATAACGCCAATACTTGTATCATCATCCCACTCAGGGGGCTCGGGTTGTCCGGCCGGGCAGAGAGGGAAGGCCAAAGGACCACAAGCCCCGGGAAGCTTCCCACCACCAGCAAACCGATGAACCCAATCTTCAGTCTCATCTTTCTCCAGGGCAAGTCACACACAGCCCAGCACAGCCGCCACCACTGCTCTCCCCGATAATTCTTTATGGGCCCCTGAGGGTGTGGTGGTCTCTGTCTTCATATATCTACTTTCCACTGAAAATGGCTGTAACTTCTAACTACTGGGGATTAGGTACTCTCCAACTACCTTGTGATGTTGTGGCTTACTGGCTGGAGTGAAGGAAAAAAAACCTGGAGCAGTACTAGAGTCTTGGGTTTTGAAAAGGAGACTCGGGCTTTCCAATTTCACAGGAGTACCTTTCTTTTTTGTTCTTTTTTTTCCCCCCCAGATGGTTCAAATGGGTTTCTTGCTTTCTTTCTTTTTTTTTTTTTTTT